TTTTTTTTTTAGTATATCTTTATGGATTTCACAGAGAGGGAGGGAGAGGGAGAGAGAGAGATAGAAACATCAATGATGAGGGAGTTGTCATTGATGGGCTGCCTCCTGCATTCCCCCTACTAGTGATCAAGCCCACAACCCAGGCATGTGCCCTGACTGGGAATCGAACCACGATTTCCTGGATCCTTGGTCAGTGCTCAACCGCTGAGCTACGCCTGGCTAGGCAAGAGAATTTTTGCATTATATTTATTAATAATGTTAACCTAGATTGCTTAGTTAAGGTGGTATTTGCTAGGTCTCTCCACTATAAATTTCCTATTGTAATTAATTAATATAGGGAAAGATGCTTTGAGACTGTATAAATACTCTGTTTCTCCTCAAACTTCTTCCACTAATTTTAGCATCTTGCTTCCTCAGTTATTACTGTGGTGCTTGCCTACTGATGATTTTCTATTTCCATCAGTCCTTGCACACTTATTAATTATAATTCTATGAGGAAGAGCTGTTCTTTCTTCATTATTTTATTATCAGTGTGGCATACAATTATTTTCTTTCCTTAATAAGTTGAGGATTTTTGCATTTTCACTTAAAGGAAGCACTCTACAGCCTCTCTTTGGCATGTCCTAATTGCCAGCATTACTACTCGAATTTTGGGGCCATTATTAAGTAAACTAAGGGTTACTTGAACATTAGCATTGCATTCCATGACAGTCAATCTGATAACCGGAATGGCTACTAAGAGATTAACAGGTGGGTAGCATGTAAGAGACTCATGGGTGGATAGCATATAGAGCATGGATATACTGGACAGAGGGATAATTCACATCCCAGGTGGGACAGAGCAAACAAAGCAAGATTTCATCATGCTTTTCAGCATGCAATTTAAAACTTATGAATTAATTATTTCTGGAATTTTCCATTTAATATTTTCAGACCATGGTTGACCATGGGTAACTGAAACTGCGAAAGTAAAACCATGCATAAGTGGGGACTGCTGTATATGTCCTCCTCACCCCCCCATGGAAATTTATAAGGATTATTTCAGTGTTTACTCTGATTGCTGTTTTATTATTCTAACAAGTGTCTCATTCATTCATTCATTTATTAAGTATTTAATGAGTGTCCCCTGTGTGCTAGGTCTTGTACTAGACTCTGGGGAATCAAAGATGAATCATACTCAGTCTCTATCCCATGGAAACTCATTCTGGTTAGAGAAATAATAAACATATAATTATGATATTCTGTGAAATATATTTTTTAAAGCATTAAGTGAGATAATGTATATGGAAAAACTGAAATTTTGCAAATTTAAGATATTTTTCCTCCAGCACATATTTCAATGTCTGACATATCTTAAATGCTTGTTATATTCTTGAATGAGTTGATGAAGAGCAAAGAACATGAAAACACAGTATTATAAAGAGGAATTAGTTCTGCCTGGATGTATAGATGGAATGGGGAAGGCTTCACAAAGGGTGTAACTTTTGAGCTGGACTTTGAAATATAAGTAATTTCTGTTGAGAATTAGGAAAGGGGATGGCAGAACAAGAGACTATGAGACAAAAAATTACTTTAATCTATGTCAACCATATAACTGTAGACTTACACGGTTTACAAGATGCTTTTGTTTACATTATCTCTTTTGAGTCTTATAACAGTCCCATGAGGCAGGTTCATACAGTGAAGTGCTTGAGCCTTGACTAAAACTCAGATTCTAGGGTGTAAGAGAGCATAACTAGTCATTTTATTCTTTATAGTTTCATGAATGTCATGATTGCTAATACTGAATTTCTATGATTATATTTATTTAAAAATTTTTTCTGAGTTACAAGTATGTGAAAGAAACATATAATGAAATATATAGTGTCTTTTTTTATGTAAGCAGATTAACTTTATTGATATACATGTTGTTTTTTAGAGGTTTCAGAAACAAATTAGAAAATGCTTACTAAATATTTCATAGATTCTTTATGATTCAGGTAGTTTTTAAGGATTTCAATCCTCCTTATACCATTTATCTAAAGGACAACAAATGGCATCTGTGATTCCCCACATTATTTCTTATGCTTCCTGCTTCTACTATAGTTGAACAAATTCTTTGACATAAAAAATTTATTTGCACCAAAATGTTTGGTTAAAATACTTTGGGGAAAAAAGAAATAAAAACTTCTTCCCCACTTAAACTTGATTTCCTGTTGCATATATGTTGTATGTAATCAAGACAGTGTGACATTGTTGAAAGAATACCCAAATAGATCAACGAACAGAATAGAGAGAGCTCAGATAACCAAAATTGATAGAGCCAGCATGCAGTAGTCACACAGTCTGGCTCTTAATCCTTTGAAATTCTTAATTATAGGATTTATATAAGATATTTATGACATTTTTGAAGCTCATCTTTGTTCCCTACTTCATGCAGTAAATTAGATTTCCTGGTCCACTATTTTATAATGAAACTTCAACCTCTTGGTTTATAGAAAGACTATTTATTTATTTATTTATTTTTGAGGTGACAGTTATATAACTTTAAGGATTATATTATAATTTGATGTATACTGTATACTGGAGCTTGCTCGCTACTAAAAGTCTAGTTTCCATCCGTCGCCATATATTTGAACCCCTCTAGCCATTTCACCCCAGCCCCTTCTCTGGTAACCACAATCTGTTGTCCATACCTATGAGTTAGTTCTTGTTTTGTTTTGTTTAGAAATTCTTTTGGAAAGAAGTATTTGGAAAAAATATGCAAGTATTTATTTGAATGCCTACTGTTTACCATGCACCGTGCCAAATGGATACAGATATCTAGGAGTTATTTCCCTACTTTCTGTTTGTAAAGCTGCCCCTTTTACCAAACTTAGCTACCTATAAATTCCTCCCTAAAATAGCTTCTTGGAGGAATTCCTTTCTTTCCAGTGTGTGATGCAAAAGGCAAACATTTTACAGATCAAAGGAGCACTTGTTTTCTTTATTCAGATTCTAAAGTGTAATAAGCTGAGGTTTGGTTTAGTTTCCCAGAAAAGGAAGGAACTTTAAGGTGTAAATAATTACTAGTTATAGCCATCAGAACTGTATTTACCTATCCTGCCTCAACAAGTTGGTTATAATTCTTAAGCTTAGAATAGATAATAGTGACAGCTTTGAGCTATCTAAATTAAAGAAGTTCCATTTATTTATGCTGACACTAAAACTGTCCTGATTTCAAGTTTCTCTGTGGAAGAAATAGAGTTAAGCCAACAAATAAAAGTAAGATGAAAATTATATATGTGGATAAATTAAATTTTATTTCAGAGTCTAGAATCTTCTTGAGATGTTTTCAAAAGTCTGGATATTTTGTTTAATAAATGGCTAGAAAGTTAATCTACCAAGAAAATCAAGAAAAATTAAGTACAAGTTTTAAATGTGCTTTTAATAATTCCAGAATTTGAATTTTCTTTTTATTGCAGCTCAGATCGTCTGATAGAAGAGACAATAAGGTAGGAATAATTTTTTGTTTTACTTTATTGTGGTTTTTTGTTTGCATGTAAATGAACAGATCAGGTTAACTCCAGCTAGAGCTGAAGTTAATTTATCCTCTTTAAAGATGAGAATTTAATTAGCTCTTCATGTATTTTTACTATATTTTTTTCTGTAAGAGACATTTGAAGCCCAGGCTGTTTTACTTAGGTTGACTTTTCTGATTAATTTATACTCAGTTTTTTTCAGCCTCAATCTTTTTATTCTCATTTTTTAATGGAAAACAATCTTAACCATGTGATTTGGTAAATGTCTTATTTATACCATTTATGTGGACTTCGTTTCAGTGGCTGTAGAGAATCTACTTCAGTAATATTTAGTGTTACCTGTAATAACATTAAAGTAGTTTCTTAATAAGTTCTAACCTTTTATAATACAAAGTCATGTCGTGGAATTTTGTTTAAATTGCATGCACTTGAGTTTTCCATCTGAACTTAGTTTTCATAGAATTGCCTGTCAACTGAAGTATCTTCTTGTGATGCTTTTCTTTTCATCAGCACATAAAGTCAGATCACATTTTGCCAGAGATTTTTTTAATTTAACCCTTTTCTTTTTTTTCTTTCTTTTTTCCCCCTCCTCTTTCTGCCTGATCTTCTAGGGCCAGGCTGCCTTAATAAGGTTTTAAATTCAAAGCTGGCCTATAAAAATGTGGAGTACTTCATAGGACAGGAACATTTGAGAACCATTGAATCACTGCTACTATATTATTTTGCTAATTAAAAAGCAAAAAAACACCCTGGCTGGTGTGGCTCAGTTGGCTAGAGAGTCATCTGATGCGCCAAAGGGCCACGAGTTTGATTCCCAGTCAGGTCACATGCCCAGGTTTCGGGTTCCATCCCTGGTCTGGACTCTTATGAGAGGCAACCAATCTATTTTTCTCTTTCTCTCTCACTCTCTCTTCTCCTCCCCCTTTTTCTCCCCCCCCTCCTCTCTCTCTAAAACCAATTACAAACAAGGATGATTAAAAAAAAAAGGCAAAAAACATGTAACTAGAAGGTCTTTTATTTCACTAGTTCCCTTTGTGTCAAAATATGATGGGTATCACAAGTGAAATTTCACTGAATATAAAGCTAATTATGATTACTTATGGATAATATAAAATTTTTGTATCAAATAATTTTTACATGTTCTATATGTAAAAAGTTACTTTTTCTTTTTGGAGATACATTTTAAAAGTAAGTGCACAACTGATTATAAACTTTAGCATCAATCTATTGAAAAGAACTAATATTTTTAATATTTATAAATTCTTAAGCTTCAAATGTATAACTAGTATTGTCTTTTGTTGAAAAAATATGTGTCTGAGTAGTTCACAAAACAGGTAAGAAAGCTTAAGTTCCAGTAAGCACATCAATGATTTATTATTTTAAAAGCATTATATATTATTTGGAGCTTATGTTTTGCCTCTTAGTATTTGACCCTTGAAGTAATAACAGCCTACATTCTGCTCAGCTTGATTGTAGATGGTCCGAGATGGGAAAGTATGTTTAGATATACTTTGTGTGGTACTGGAAATCATGCATATTCAACAAGATAATAACGTAATGTATGTTGATAATATCCATTCTCCAAGGAATACAAAGTGCTTTGCAGAAATTACTTTTTAATCTTCTCTATCTACTTCTGAGTCAGAGTGCATGGTAGTTGGTGGTAGTCCCAGTTTAAAAAGCAGAGGTATATATGATTCAAAGATTGGCCTTAGATTACTCAGCCCAGTTTTGAATTCTTTTATTTTATACAAAACCATAATATTAATTTTGAAATACCTTGTAAATTTATTTTAAAACAGCCACATTTTAAATGTATCACATGTTGTCATACACTTAAACTGAAAAATTATGAGTAAGAACTAATGACACAAAGGACATTGTTAGTTTGACTCTTCTTGAGCTCTTTTGGTTTTTGGATCTAAAATCCAATATATTACTGCCTGCTTCCTTCTGTTCTAATCTTTTTTTTTTTTTTAGAACTCTCTTTTTTTTTCTTTTAATCCTTAACCAAGGATATGTTTTTATTGATTTTTTGAGAGAGAGAGAAAACATCAATCGATTGCCTCCCGTATGCGCCCCATCTGAGGATCAACTTGACCTGGAATCGAACCTGCAACCTTTTGGTGTATGGGACGATGCTCCAACCAACTGAGCCACGCAGCAGGGGCCCTTCTGCTCTAATCTTTACTGTTTGTTCCTGTTTATACTATTTTGGTCCTGTGATGTCCTTTCACCAGTACCCTAAACTAATCTCCTTTACCAGAGGAGTATTTCATGGTTTAGGTGTATTTCTTGGATTTTGTGTCTTCCACCTTCTTAGTTTATTCCCCCGTTATGCGGAACCATGTCCTTTAGTAGCTTCCTGAGAAAGAACAGGAAGTAAATTTTTTGGACTTCCCACACCTACATCTAAAAAAATCTTTATTCTCGCCATATCCTTGTTCATTGTTTAGCTAAGGTATAGAATTCTAGGTTGGAAATCATTTTGAAGTTTTGAAGGCATTGTTTCTAGTATTGCTTTTTAAGTCCAATGCCAGTTACAATTTCTGATCCTTTGTATATGATAAGCTTTTTTCCTCTGAAACCTTTTGGGGTCATCCCTTTTCCCCTGTGTATTTGTTTTTAACCTCACCATGATGAGCTTAGTAGGCATCTTTTTCAGTCCATTGCACTAGGCTTCTGGTAGGCTCTTGTAACCTGGAAACTCATCTTCAATTCTGGGAAATTTTCTTAGGTTTATAATTTTTTCCCCTTCTTTTTCTTACTTTTTCTGTTTCCACGTACCTTTTTGTCTACCTTCTGGGAGGCTTACTTAGTTTATTCTTCCAACACTTCCTATTACGTTTTTATTTCCACTCTTTTTTTTCTCTTTTAAATTTACATGAGCTCTCCTAAGGGATGGGTACGCACATACACATATATTTATATGTTTACATGTTTCATGGATGTGATTTCTTTTATCTCTTTGAAGACATTAAATATAATTTTAGTTTCCTGGGCTTTCTTTATTGCCTCTATTTCTTCAGACTCACTTTCCTGTTTGCTGGTTGGTTTATTTAGATCTCCCCTCTTATGTTAGAGGCTCTCCTCAAATGTCTGGTTATTCTTGGTTCTTTGTTCATATTTAAGGGTGAGGCTCCAAAATCCCATGATGAGAAGCTCATTCTGTGTGTGGTAGTGGGACTTGTTGAGTGGTAGGCCTCACAGTGGGTGATCAGGAAGGGACCTGGCTATTTCATAGAGATCTTCAAAATGTCAGTGTCTCTGGTCTCTTCTCCTAAGTTAGGTCTTCTTCTGTACTGGGGCATCTGACTGCATGGTTTGGGAAGGTAATTTAGGGTTCTGACAACTCTGTACAAATTTCCACACGTTTCCACTTTTAGCCCTGTTCCACACTTCCCTCTTCAGATATTCCCGATCCCTTCAATTCTTGAGCTTTTCCGGGATCTGGAGAAAACCTTTATGTATGAATCATTATCTGACTTATGGTGGTACTGAGGTGAATAGCACTAGTAGATTTGGTGCTGGTAATGTTATTAACTTTCCTTAGTCACTCAGGTAGAACCCCTGTAATTTTATTTATTCAATATTTACATATAATAAAAGTACAGTGTTCTTACTGTAACAATTTAAACAATTCTAACAGGTTTATTTTATTTTAATATATCTTTATTGATTTCAGAGAGAGGAAAGGAGAGGGAGAGAGAGAGATAGAAACATCAATAGTGAGAGAGTCATTGACTGAGCCCGCAACCCGGGCATGTGCCCTGACCGGGAATTGAACCCTGATCGCCTGGATCCCAGGTCGACGCTCAACCGCTGAGCCACGCCCAGCAGGGCTAAACAATTCTATAAATATATAAGGTTCATCTCCTGGTAGTGCTCCTCCATTCCTTCTCCCCAAAGTAACTTCTATTAACTGACAGTTGTGTGTCTAATACTTTTCTTACTGTCATACAAATATACACAAGAATGTTTTGTTTCTTAAAATAGAAAAAGACACACACTACTCATAGTGTACACATTCTGTGGCTTGCTTAAATCATTTAGCATGTCATAAACATCCCTCCAGGTTAATAGAAATAATACCAACTCATTCTTAATAACCAAATATTATTTTTTAATTCGGTTGTATCATAATATACTAAACTATTCTAGTGTTTCCAATTTTTTTATTTTGTCTTTTACTGTTCCTAATAATGCTTCAATAAATATCTGTTTATATATCTTCCTACACACTTTTGTTTCTCCTTTGCCTTCTCAAATCTTGAAGTTTCAGTTTTGATTCATTTGTCATTTGCTTAGAGTACTTTCTCTAGCATTTTCCTTCAATAGGATTACCAGGACTTGCCTATCCAAAAATGTGTTTGGTCAGCTTTGTGATTGTCAGGCTATTAGAAACCCTAAAGCAGTAGGGTGGTAGTGGATGGCCCAGCAGTTTTTCCTCCTAGCAGCTGGGTATCACTCAAGCTGGAAGACTGAACTCTCTGCTTGTAGGTCTCTCTGGTTGTATGTGACAGTCCTTTTCCAGCTGCAGGGACTGGGAGCTTTTTTTCAGTCCATCACTGTAGCCCTGTATCTTCCATTGTCTGGGCTCCTCAGAATACAGTGAAACAGATAGGTCTTTGCCCCAGGCTGGAGGAAAAATCTTGTCTTCCCTGCCATCAGTTCCCTGCTTCTTCCCTCACTTGAGAGAGTGTAGCCCTCCCTGGCTTTCTTCCCTTGGAGAGCTCAGGAGGATTTTGGCCCTCAGAGGGACCTTCCCCAGCATGTCTGCTTTGTTCTTGTATTTCCCCCAGGAGGTAGTTGGGCCAGAGATGAGGTCAGGAATTTGTGCTCAGACCATCATCTTCCCAGAATCTCTTCAGAAGCAACAGGCTTTTTCACATTTTCAGAATTACTCAAATACATTCTCTTCCCTATTGCTTTTTATAATGTCAATATCAGAAACACTCCTCTGTGTGTTGCCTATGAAAATGGATACTGATCCTGCCCTGTAGGATTTTAATGTCCAAGGAGATAAGACTGTTGAAAGTTAATAATCTGGGCAGTGATAGCAAAAATGTATTAACTGAGATTCTTTTTAAAAGGACATCAAAGTAGTTACATGGAAGAGACTGTACCTACAGTCACTTTTTTCCTTCTCTCTCAGTCGTTTAATGACCTTTGTCACCTGGCTTAGAAATCCAGCATAATGTGGCATGTGTTTCCTAAAATCTGCTCCGTTGGTTCTCAAGTAGACTTTTGGAACATGATCTTTTCATAAATTGAGGTCAGGTTGTGGGAATGTTTTGTGATATGTTACACTTTTGGTTCTACTTTTATGATTATAATTCCCTACTTCCCCTCCACAGTTTTTCCTGATTAAGGATATTGTAGTAGCTGGCCCCTTTTACAACCATTATAAGAAGCTCTTCTAGTATGTGATTTGTCTGTTACTGTCTTATTTTGTTTGTTACTTTGAAGAGAAAAAAACCCCCACAGAAAATGGCTTACTGCCTTGCCCAAAAAGACACCAGAGGATAGCAGTGGGGATGTCGTGGTCATTTAGAAAATGGTCAGTGAGAAGGTGACTTGGGAAGTGATCTTTTTTCTTTTATTCTCCTACCCAGTGCTTTTCAAGATGATATTGTTCACCTTAGTTTTCTGTTCACTTTTAAGGGTATGATGGATCCATGTAGGATAATCTTAAATGCCAGTTTAATTTGCTTCTCTCTTTTCTCCCTTGCAGCATTGCTATGGCAACAAAAGAAAATATGACTTCACAGAGAGGAATGTTGAAATCGATTCAGAGCAAAATGAACACTTTGGCCAGTATCCTTTTTGAAAGTTGGAAAGTTGTGGCTCTTACGGGGGCACAAGTCTGTGTGTGCTTTCCTCTCACCCCCCCCCCC